CCCTGGCTTCCCCCTTCCAGCTCCCTCCTCCCAGGTTTCCCCCTCCCCTCTCCCACCCTCTCTCTTCCCCTCTCCCACCTCCTTTTCCCAGTCTCCCCAGAGGTTAATCTCCTCACCCCAGTTTTGTTAAATAAAGAGAGTTTCTATTTTTGAACATACGTGTCCTTTATTTTTTACATCAGGAAGTGGGGCTAGGGATGGGTAAATGGAAGGAGATGAGGGAGGAATGGGGCATGAGCCCCCAATGGGGAGGACTGGGGTGGCTCTGCGGCCTCCTCAGGGTGGAAGCTCTTCTGCAGGGCCTCCTGGATCCTGACAGCCCCCTGATTGACCTCCCCGGATCGCAGCGTGCGGCAAGTGCAGCCGGGCTAATGGCCAAGTGCTGTGATGTGCCGAGTGTGGGCACTCAGGGCACTCCAAGCCAGGACTGCTTTGCTGTCCCTCATCGAGTTAGCCAAGCAAGCGGGGAACTCTGCCTGAGGCAGCAGCTCCACACACTAAGTCCTAACCTGATGCCCTGCCGGCACTGGTTCCAGCCAGCCTTAACTTCGGTTCAGGGTCCACTCAATGTGGACATGCTAGTTTGAATTAGCAAAACGCTAATTTGAATTAGTTTTTAGGTCTAGATGCACTAATTCGAATTAGCTTAGTTCAAATTAACTAATTCGAATCAAGTTAGTTCGAATTAGTGCTGTAGTGTAGACGTACCCTTAGATATTTTACTGCTCACTTGCTGTATTTTACTGCTAGAACAGTGAAAAGAGGAAAGTACTGATGTTACTTACTGTTACTTTGTTTGTGGTTTAAAGTCTTGAGAGGTAAACTTTATAGAGTGAGAATTTTAAACTTCTTTGTTTGCTTTATTGATTCTTTAAGATCGGACTTTTAACTGGTGTTCATCTTGTGCTGCTGTATGGAGAATATGTAAATCCCTTCAGTAACCATGGGAGCTGTCAGGGATTTCAGAGTCAAGCCCTCCTATGACTGGGAAAGCAGATTTGAGGGGCAAGGTCCTCAGCAATCTAGCTCTCACTTAATTTGGTTTGTAGCATCTTTTGCAGTCACCCCACAGCAGGCTATGGGAACATTTGCTTGCTACAATCACTCAATGTGAAGTTAAAGTAGACAAATATGGCCAGTTGTGGGGAAGCTGAAAGTAGAGTTCAAAAATAGGGGAGTTTCTTTGTGAAAGGCCATGGTACTATGGCTTCTCTCCCTGCTATGGATTTTGCACCATTGTAACTTTACTGTAAGAGAGAGCAGAATCACACCCAAATCCCTGGATTGTAGGAGACTCTGACAATTGATGAATAATTAAAGTTCTGACTAGAATTTGGAATCTGAACAATTGCAACATGAATGTAATGTCTTCCTCACTAGACACTCTTGAGTTAAAAAAGGAAGAGTTCTGCTAAACTCTCTGTTCTGAAGGAGCTGAAATCACTCAGCTCTTTGAAGAATCAGATTCATGATGCCTTTGGCAACCAGCACTGTGGGTGGGCCTCCTCACTGCTACTTATGGGAATTGTAAAGAGATGGGCAAGTTTTCCTGCCAGGCCCCCTTGAGCCACCATGTCCTATTCAAGTTCCATTGTTTGTACCAGTATCTTAAAAATGAGGCGAATGTTTGTGTATCTATGAAGAGGAGTTAGGTGCAATATATATATTGCCTGAGTGATTTCCTGTGAAAAAGCTATAGTTGAAAAAATTGGGTGTGAGATCTTTGAAAGTGTTCCTAGTTTTTAGAGCTGTTGCATTTTATCTATGTAACATTAATTTTCAGTTACAATGTATAGCCTATCGGGTATGTAATGTTTTCAGTAAAAGGTTAATAGTTGAGGTATAAAAATTGACCCTTTCTCAAATGTCATGACATTTGAAAAAATTACTTTATGTGAACATTAACAAATATGTATTTTTATTCTTGCAAGTTCTGATGAGGCAACTTATTATTAAGGATTTCTTAGGATAATAAAAATGTAAATATTCTACATATACATTACCTTATGCAAATTTATTTTCGAGTTTCATCAAAATTGAAAATCCACTTTTTTATTATCCATTACCACAAGCTTCTACAAATTGTATTATACATTTCTAACTTTGCTCAATTCATTCTTGCTTGAGTGTTTGCTTGATTGTTTTGTTTTTGAGGAGTTTTTTAACTTCATTTTACAGAGTTTTCTGAGTTGTAATGTGTGATAGTTTCTTTTGACATTCATGAATGTTTAGAGATGCTATGAGAATAATTTTGGGGACAGAGGTTGTCTTTTTCTGGAGTCTTTAACTATCCCTCCAGAACTAAAACAAATCTTATCTAAAATACACTGAAGATTTGTCTAGATATATGGTTAGCATGTAGCAAGCTGCAGTATAAATCTACAAAAGACAGGACTATGCAGCACTTTAAAGACTAACAAGATGGTTTATTAGGTGATGAGTCTTTAAAGTGCTTCATAGTCCTGTCTTTTGTTTCAGCAAGACCAGACTAACATGGCTACATCTCTATTACTATAAATCTACAGTGTGCTAGTTGTTTATGTAGATCCCGTTACTATACTAGAAGTTCTCTAGTACATTTTAATCTGCCATGCTTTACAGGAGTATATTAAACCACATTAGAGAGCTGATAATGTGCTGCATGCTAGTGCATTGCAGAGTTGCACCCTAGCTTTTCGCACACTAATGTTAAAGACAAGCCCTGAGATTTATGAGTCCAATTCTACCACCTACTCCAGGTAACATTTTGTATTTTTATTTCAATGGAGAAGCAGAAATGGGTTATATTACCACATCTTTGTTATGTACTCTACTTCTCATTAAATGGTTTGGGGTACACCTAACCTATTACAGTTTTAGTTTTACTAAACCATATTTAAATAGAAATGTTTTAACTGGTGAGTTAAAATGAAGAAGAATGGCTTTGCGGCTAAGGCAGTGGACTGGTATTGAAGGGAATTGGCTTCAGTTGTACTAACCACTTTCCGGGTGACTCTGGGCAAATTCCTTAATAGCTCATTGCCTGAGTTCCCCATCTATAAATGATAATATTAGCTTATCTTAGATAAGGATTATACATATAAATAAACTAAAGTTGGTGATAATGGGAGCTGTATCATTACTTAGGGAGACTGAGTAGTAAAATTATTTAAAATCAATTTTCAACCATTAAACAGACCTTACTTTGATAAGAGAAAATATTTCTGTCTATCACATGTGCTGAATATTTACCCCCTTCCTTAGAAACTGTATTTCTGTGTCTTTCTCAAAGCTTCCACCAACACAGCTCTTTCTGCAAGTAACAGATGCCAAGTTGATATACAAGCTAATCCCCCTCCCTCCCAAACCCATTTATGGTATGTATATTACAGTGATCCAGTAATCAGGTAACCAATTCATGCTCTCATTCTTCTGAACAACATTCTGAAAATTCTGCACTCTTACTATGAAGTCATTTGAATACAGGTGATTATTTGCCACAGTACGGATAGAGTTGCTTAAAGAAAGCTTTTGTCTGTAACAGTTGAATGTTGTTTTTCTTTAAATATTTTGGTTTATACAAATCAGAATGATTGACGAAGAGTATCTGCCCTTAATATAAGCAACAACTAAAAATGAACTGCTTTCACTTTCTGATGTCAGAGCAATAACTTCCTTGACATTTGAATTGATATGATTCAGTTGTGTAATCTATTCCAGACTAAGATCACTTTAATACCTTTCAATTGTTTTGCACTCACTGCTTTGGCTGTCTCTTCCTATATGATGCTTATTATGAGAAAAATGAGCAATTACCGAGACAATTTCGTCCTCTGCCGGTACAGTTGCTGCTGCTAGTGCTGCTGCTAGTGCTGCTGCCCGAGCTGCCTTCCTCATTGCTCTTTGAGTCTGAAGATTGGTAAAGTAGTTGACAGCTGCAAACTCGATAAGTGCAGAGAAGACAAAGGCAAAGCATACAGCTATGAACCAATCCATGGCAGTGGCATAAGACACCTTGGGCAAAGAGTGGCGTGCACTGATGCTTAAAGTGGTCATTGTTAGAACAGTAGTAATCCCTTTAAAATAACAATGAAAATTCAGGTATTAGGATTTTGTTTATATTCATATTGCTTATAAATTGTTATAAATATATAGATTACACTCTTCCTGTGTATGCTCCGGATCAGATGATTAACAGGTTGCAAAGTACTATTTGTGCTTCAAATAGTTAATACTTATATATACAACTGTCCTGAATAAGGTACCCTAGACTGTATGCTCCATTTTAAAATGGTGAACCAGTGTGAAGTTAAGATACCCACCTACTGAGTAGGGATTCTTTCTAGAATGATGTTCTGTTCATGAACATAATAGCATGTTTGGAAATACCATTTTCTGGAGAAGGTACTTGCCTGAGTCACAGCACTTATGATATCACTTTAAGGAATGCCATGAGGACCATACATGGCAATTCCCATATTAGAAAGGAAAGTGCTTAGATTTCAAAACTACCTACTAACTAAATGAGATAGTGAGTGCCAGCTAGTCCAGTAATCTAGATTAAATACTATAGTTTAGTAACATGTAATTTCTGCATCTTTTTGCCCACTCTTTGGTGTTACATTGGAGGGACATAGCATATCATACAGAACAGTTATTGAACTCATGGGAGCTCTGCATGTGGCAGGAAAAGGCCCTGAGAATTTTTAGATAAGAGCAAGAAGTATATAGTCCTATATGCAGCATTGTGAATTCTTTGGGAAACTGCCTAATTTGATCAAAGTGTTTGTAAAATTTACTAAGATATTTCATACATTTGAGTCCCCCAGCCCCAGTTTGCATATTCCTACATACAAGTATATGTGGAAAATCTCCATAACATTTGAGATCCACATTTATTCTAACAGAACATGTCTAAACATGTGGCTCTTGACCCATATAATGCTTTTCACGTCTTATGACAGACTTATGACTAGTTAGCCTTCTACTCATTCTTGCTATCTGAGGTGATGTAACATCTCAAGGCAGCATCTGAACTGTGTGACTTGATATTGTTAGCATTCTCTCTGGAACTTTCATAAGACGCAGCTTATCAACAATCTTCAGTTGAGTACCAATATACAAATGCAGTAATCTAACATGTTATTAATTAAATGCAAATAAAAGATTTTAAAAAAACCACAGTATCTCCTATTACCCAGATCTGTCAGATGTTTTTGTAGCAAAAGTCTGAATAAGCCTGAGGTATAGTTCAATATCAAAATTCCATGTCTCACATATGCACAAGGGTGAACTTTTCAAGAATATATGTATTGAGATTAGAACATTGCCATGCTCTATTTGGTGATATTTGGTAATGCCAGGATGGATCTATGCAAATAGAGCCCTGTAAATCTGTGGGATATCCGTTTTATATTTGTGGGTATCTGCATCTGCAGACGTGGATGCTGATATCGGTGGCTCATTTTTGCGTATATGGATGCAAATGTAGATACAAATTTTGTATCTGTGCAGGGTTCTATGTATAAAGACCTATCACTAATGGAATTTGATGTTAGGAATCTGGAAGATTCCTCCTACCATTGAGGGCTGAATGATTTTATATGATTTCTTGAAATACTGACAATATGTGCCTTATCTAGTTGAATGCTGAAATACAGTTAAAATTGTGTGACTGATATTTGTTTATCTCTGGGATTAGATTTTGAACATTTTCCATGACTTTTAAGAGAGTTCAGTTAGCATAAAATTAATTTAAAATATAAAATTAATTTTATTTCACTACTTATGCTACAAAAATTTTCCACTTCTGAAGATTTTAATAAATATGATAGATCAAAGGTCAAATTCCGGCTGTCAGTGTGATAGAAAAACAGGAGAAAGATGATCATATCTATCTGTGCACAAGATTTTCCATCCTGAACTTATTATCTAAATCAGGCCTGGGCAAAATAGGGGTGGTGGCCCAGATCGGGCCTTCCGAGCCACAGGATCCAGCTTGTAGATGTAGCAGGGAGCCTCAGACAGATTCCCTGCTTGCCCCACCCCCTCCTGCACACCACTCAGAAAAGTGGCTGCTGGTCTGTTTGTGATTCACAGCTAGGGATGGGGATGAGAGAGGCTTCATGCGTTGTCCCTGCCCCAGTACAATCCCATTGGCCAGTTTCTAGCCAATGGGAACTGTCTGTTTGAAGAACGGGCAGTGTGCAAAGCATCACTCCCCACTTCCCTCTGGCTTATTCACAGACACACACAGTCTCTGCAGCCTGGGCAGGGGGTGGGTCAGGCAGGGAGCCTTCCTGAGAAACATACTGTGCTGCTGGCTGGGAGTCACCTAGGTAAGTCTCCCAGTCAGAGTCTGCCTCTGGCACCCCAGTCCCTTCCTCCCTCCAACACTCTGGCCCCCCACTCCTGCCCCTCTACTCCACATAGCCCAAACCCTCTGCCTCCCTCCTGTAGCCATGTCCCCTCCCAGATCCTGCATCCCAATCCCCTGCCCTAGGTCACAATCCAAACACCTGCACCCCAATCACTTGCCACAGGTCACAAACCAAGCCCCTGTAGCCCTTCTGCACCCTAGTTTCCTGTCCCAGGTCACAACCCCTTCCTATCCTAGTTCACAACCAAAATCCTTGCACCCAGGTCATGACTGACTTCTTCACCTAAACTCCCTCCCAGACTCCACACACCCTCCTGCACCTCAATTCCTTACCCCAAGATCCCTTCTGTACCCCACCTCCATTCCAGGCCCCCGCACCTCCTCCATTAGTATAATTGAAAAGTGCAGCCTTTGACCACTTTCCAAAATCTTGGAATGGCCCCCCATAAAAAATTATGGTCCACCTCTGATCTAATGGGACTCTTTGGGACGACTCTGAGACAGGGATGGCACCTGCATGGAGTGATGAGTCCATGAACACAGTGGGTATGGGCTCAAGGAAAACTTGCCTATGACTCTTAGAGTACATCTAGACTGAAAGCTTCTTTTGAAAGAGCAGACACACTTCAAAACCAGATCGAAAAAGTGATCTGCTTTTTCGAAAAAGAGAGCATCCAGACTTCATGGACACTCTCTTGACAGAAATCCCTGATTGCTAGTCACAGAATGGCCTCTAGGGCACCTGTGCTTTTTTGGATTGCCTCTTCTTTCAAAAAATGTTCCTGTTCTGTGTCCACACATGCCTTTTTTTGAAACAGCTCTTTCAAAAAAAGTCTTCTTCCTCATTTGGGCTGTGTCTAGACTACAAGCCTCGTTCAAAAGAGAGCGTCTAGACTGCAACCACTTCTTTCAAAAAAGCAATGTAGATGCAGGTGAAGTTTTTTCGAAAAAAGGGCAGTTTTTTCGAAATAGCAATGTAGTCTAGACATACCCTTATAGAAGCATACTTAGCTATATGCCCCACATGTCCTTTATTCCATATGTGTGGGAGTAACACACATATGGAGAAAGGCATATTAGCAATCCATTGCCCTCTTCAAGTACACAGCAGTACAAAGGAATACTACTATCTCTGGCTTGGTTCTGCCTACCCTATTGTTTCTTTCAAACATTTTTAGCAAACAGACCTCTATGGCTCCTGCTTCTCCTTAATTTTGGGCTCATAGCATTCCTTATAATATTTCTAGACTTTAATTTTGAGGGGTTCAATCTGCTTAGTATTGCCCCTTTTATATAATATTATAATTGGTTTTAGCAGAGTAGCTTTACTTTCCCATCATTAATTTCTCCTCTTCCCCTCTTTACACCTTTAATTTGAGGGAATTCAGGTGCCTTTTCTAGCCAAATTCATTTAAATAACAATTATAACAAGTATTTTCCAATATATAGTGGGATATCAGGCCTTCCATTTTAAACTTCTGATTTGTCACTGGGCTTGCTATTTTGCTATAGGCAGTGAAGAACTGACCCTGAAATCATTTTGCAGGTGAAACTCTCTGGAGTCAGTGGAGTTTTGTCTGAATAAAGACTGCAGGTTCAGGCTGTAATGGGTGTAAATCCATCAGTCCTTCCAATATAGTCATTAGACTGAATGCCTTGAATAAGGATTGATGGTCTTTGTCCTTTTTATACAAGGAGTCAGGCTTAGTATTACTAATTTTCAGCAAAACTTGCAATGGCAGTTGCATTTAATATGTTTTCTAAGAATATTCCTCTGTTCCTAATTCTGTATTTACTCTTCAGTCTGAAATGGCTCATCCGTACTATCATTTCAAATGCTTATAAATATTTTTTTGTAAAGTCTGAAGACTTATTTAACTCAATAGACTTAGCAGTTACAAGTTACCCATTCAGCCTGTCAGGTAAATAGCATACATTTTACCAAATATGTTTTTGATCATCTGTAACTATTCCATAGACTACACAATACTGGGAGTGTTATATTATGTTGCCAGATGGTCAACCCACATTTGCAATCTACACACTACACTTCAATAGTGATAAAGCGCCCTTCAAAATCTATTATATAAACTCATCCCATTACATAATTATACTTTTCAGTTCTATCTGAATGCTTAAGAAAATAAAAATCAATTCCTAAACTTTCAAAACTGGCCTCTAATTTTAGGTTCAACATTTTTGTTTTTAGGGTGCCCAACTGCAGTTGGGTTTTTAAGAATAAACAAGAATGCACAACCCTATTATGAGCCAAAGATAGTTGTGTGCACTTGGCACATCTAAAAATTGGACCCAAGATGTCCAGTGGCTTAAACATGCACAAGAGTAGTTGTACATATATTAGTAGTTCCATTACAGTCAAGTATGACCTATGAAACCCAATTCTCTCCTTTGAAGTTGCACAACAAAATGTTTAGGTTACTGTTGAAAATATGACCCTACATACTGCAGTTTTAGTTTAAAAAGCAAAAAAAAAAAAAAAAAAAAAAGGAAATTGGTGTGTAAAAACACTACAGGAATTTACAATAATATACCTAGTGCAGATTGAAAAATTACAAACATTACATGAGAAAAACTAATGTATAGTATTCTCAGTTTATCACTGTAAATATTTTGATGAGAATTTTTTAATTCAGCTCTAAATATACTTGAGTCCTACTCACCCATTTGATTAATGGACATTTTGTCCTTGATGTTGATGGGAACAGAGCAGGTCCAAAATTATGAATGAAGTAAGCAGAAAGACAAAACAAACAAACAAAGGCTATGTCTAGACTACATGGCTTGGTCGACGGAGCCATGTAAAATAGTTTAAATCCCCGCTTCATTAAAATAAAAATGGCCTCCGTTCTGTGCCGACGATCAGCTGATCCAGCACAGCAGGGCAGTCTAGACATGCCGCAGTCAACAAGGGAAGTCTTGTCTATACGTGAAACGAGTTTTACCAGAGCGGTCGACAAAGACTTCCCTTGTCGACCGTGGTGCATCTAGACTGCCCCACTGTGCCGGATCAGCTGATTGTCGGCACAGTGCAACGGCCATTTTTATTTTAATGAAGCGGGGATTATTTAAATCCCCGCTTCTTTGCCTATGCCAAATAAACTATTTTACATGGCTCTGTCAACAGAGCCATGTAGTCTAGACATAGCCAAAGAATGCTTGAGATGGGGTTTTTGTTTGTTTTTGTCAGTCTTAACACATCTTTTCATGGATTTCTTCTCTATACATTTGTTTTTCATTATTTTTACTGATAAACCTTTCTTTGAACCTAAGTATTAGTTTTAACAAAACACAAATAAGGGGAAAATTTCTGTTCTCAAATGCGAATGGTGGATCTTAATTCTAAAATTCTCCTTGTACATATGCATGGAATTTCTATGGATATTACATTGCAGAAACAGTCAAAACTGACCGTGCAAAGTTTCTGAGAACAGAATTCTGTTCTCAGTGGTATTTTTAACATTACTTATTTGGTTTCAATATAATTATTTATTTTTTGCTTACCTTTTTCTTTCTCTACTTAAAAACAAATTCACATCACACTACATTAGCTGTTCAATACTGTGGATTCAATGCAACAAATGAATGTCATGGTAAAAACATGAATACCAGCCACAGTTCTTGCAGGAACTGATTCTTTGTTGATCCAAAACACAACTTGAGACAGGACTACAGTCATGGTGCATGGAATGTATGTCTGAATGAGATAGTAGCCTATTTTCCTTTGAAGATGAAAATAGAGCAGCTGAAGTGAATATTCACCTGCAACAAATAAGCAATGAAAAGTGATAAATAAATGGAATGATTAAATAAGCTATTGCAGAAACATTAACACAGCATACCAAAAACTGTTCTGGCTGGAACAGACTCCTTATTAATCCAGAAAGAAACCTGAGAGAGAATGACTGTCATAATGCAGGGAGTATATATCTGTATCATGAAGTATCCCATCTTCCTTTGCAAGTGGAAATAAACTGTCATTATTATGTATTCACCTGTTAGGAGACAAGTATATCAGCATTATTTTGGCAATATATGAAAGAAAATTACTTGAGTAAACCCTGGAATATCTTAAATTAATAGGCTGTGTTTTGAGGAAAGCAATGACAAATGATAGACCTTCTTCTATATGACAAAGTTTAGCTAATGAGCAGAAGCTAAAATGAATCAACTGAGAAAATGAGAAAAGGTGAATAAGTTATTACTTTGATATGTTGTTCTGCTACTGAAAAAGAAATGTTCCTAAAAGTTACATTACACTTGCTCACCTGTGAGCAATATGTTGAAAATCAATCTTTTGCAGGAAACCTTTGCAGAAATTTTAGTTAAGGGAAGAAGAATAAACAATTAAGAGATAAAAATAAGAGCATTTTAACTGGTTTCCAATGAACATTTTATAATGTGTCAATTCCACAATAGGACACGTCTTACCTGTGTTAGATTTAATTGTTTCACTAGATACTGTTTGTCCTATAAGATCATATTGGAGGAGACTGGAAGACTCTTGTGGTACTTCCACTGAATACAGAGGTCCCTTTTTCCATGTGTAAATAATTTCACTTTTTGGATAGGCATCTGGGGTATCATGGAGGAAAGAATCAATAGTATTAATTATATTACAGTATTGCCCAATGGGACAAAATAAATACCATTTCCCAACAGTGGTAGATGCTGTATTAATAAGGAGACTTGTTCCCTACCATTATAACTCATGAGCATAACTAAAAGGAGAAGGGGTAGAAAGGATGAGGGTAATAGTGGATAATAACTTTCCCTTCTCACCCTTCTACTTCTATTCTGGCTCTCATGTTGTAAACATCTACACAGGGTTCTTTGCTCCCACTTAACAACATAGCAAAGGCAAAAGGTGATTAGAAACCATGATGTAGAGCAAACTAACAATATGCCCCATCCTGATAATTTTAAAGTATTCTAATAATTCTAATTTTAAAATTTCCCTGTCAACTCATAATTATTTGTGCTCCCTTAAAATTTGTCTTGTTGCTCCCATAAAAAATTGCAATCTTGTGCCCTTGGAATTTGCCTTTACTTTCCCTCTTCACTATAAACAACCATCCATCTATCTAGCATTAAATGTCTTTCTTAAAAAAAACATAAGTTATCACTATGGCTCCCTAGGATCATGGGTCCTTTTCCCTATACCTGTGTATAACCTCTAGATGTGATATATCTGCCACATTCAGGTCTCTGAAATTGTCAGGGCCTTGAGAATTATCCCACTTGCTTTGCTATTGCCTACAGAGGGAGGTTGGTTCCCTGCAGCTGAGAACAGAAAGTCCGTTGATTGCAAATGGTCATTTTGGCATATATCTTCATTCAAAATATGATAGTTTCTTTAATAAGTGAGGACATCTACTAATAATCTTTCTTCACTGTTAAAACAACAGATTTGTTTAAAAGGTACCAGTATATATTTGGCTCTGTCAGTATAACAAAAAGCAAAAGAATCTATAGTCAATAGTTTGCAACTAGCTTGGATTCCTCTGCCTATGCAAAGTCCAGATTATACACAAGCAGATTTTGATATGGGATGTGAGCCTATAATTAATTAACTCCTATTAAGGACTTCCCTAAGAGCCCATTTACAAAGTTCTTAAAGTCGCTAACAGGCCCTACATGCTGTTTTTCAAATATGAATATATATTAAAATCAGAAATTTTTACAAAACTTACAACTCCCAAACTTCAGTGGACAAGCATGCCCATCCATAGGGAAGTTTACCAGCCGCATGGGACAATCAGCATTAATGGTCAGTCTAAAATACATTGAAATAAATTGTACTCAGTTCCTTCATCAG